TTAGGCTCTCTGAAAGGCTTCTATAGCCAAAGACAAAGAAAAAGAACAAGCAAACTTATCACGAAAGAAATGGCAGTTATCAAATCTCTCAGCCATTAGATTAATATCTATAACAAGGACTCTTACTCCCCAATCTGCTTCTTCTGCTTGTTAATGAGCTGAGCAACAGGTATTGAATCCACCCTGCAGCATAGAGAAGTAAATGTCCATGTTTGTTGAATTTTATGCAGCATCCATCTAACAGCTCTAAGAGTTGCTTCCTCAGGAGATTGAGCTTTCTCACAGCAATCTTGCCACTTGAACAGAACTTTCCCATCCATTTCCACCACAGCACCAAACCCCACAAAGCCGTTTGGAAACAGACAAGCACTGACAGAAATCATACTATGTCCTACTCCTCTTCCATTAGCTTGTGAGACCCTGAGATCAGCTACCAAACTGTTGCCTTTATCAATGCTAGTTTCAGTTCTTGAAGATGAGAGCTCAAATTCAGTCCATTCCCTCCAAGCACCATCCACTATGTCCCTTTCAGTGAGTTTGGATTTAGAAAACATCTAAGAATTTCTAGTCCTCCACAACCACCACAGCAGGTAGGTTGAGAGGCTCATTCTGTCTTGCATATAATTATCAGCTGAACCAGAACACAAGTCATACCACCAATCTTGAAAAGATATCCTGCCCCTGTCAAAATGCACCCAATGCAGCCCACACAGCTTCCAACAATTCACAACTCTTTGACATTTAAAAAGAATATGCTCCAAATCTTCATTTTTTTCCCCACAGATACAACAGATGCTGTCCACATTCACCTTTTTTTTTTTCAACAACTGTGCATTTGTGTTTAGGAATCCATACCAGCATCTCCAAAGAAAATTTTTGACTTTAGGTTTCACCTTGAGCTTCAATGTCCTGGCCCACATTTTCTGCATCTTTTTGTCATCAGATGAGGAAGTTGCAGCCATCTGATTATTGTAGTGGTGTTGGAGTAGGAGTTTGTATACTTCCTTCACCACAAAAAGGCCTTTAGGATTCCATTGCCACACCGGCCTGTCATGAGCACCTGCACTACTAATTGGGATAGAAAGAATATGTGCAGCCTCCTCAGGAGAAAATGTTGTTGAACCAGCTCTACATCCCACTCATACTTATTGTGCACAAATAAGTCCCTCACTTTTTTTATTCTCACTCTGTCTGTGGGAAAATAAAGGGTAGGGGAAAAATGTTTTGGATGAGGGATCCAAGGGGAGTCCCAAACATCAATGGAGCATACATTACCAACCTGGTATCTAATTCCCAACTTTAAGGAAGGTCTAGCTTGAAGCCAGCTCTTCCAAAGCTAGGAGTCACCACCCTTAGGTTTCACATCAAAGATTTTCTGATTATAAAAATATTTGCCCTTAAGGACCCCACTCACCAAAAGATTGGGTTTAGTAATGATCCTCCATAACTGTTTAGTTATATGAGTGTCATTAAAAACCTGAAAATTTCTAAATCCCATTCCTCCCCTATCCTTAGGCTTGATAACAAATCCCACCCACACCAGTGAGCCCTATTACCCCCAGTCTCAGAAATTCCCCACCAAAAATTGGATATCACCCTACAAATATGCTGATAAACAGATATGGGGAGTCTAAAGCAAGACATGACATAAGTTGGTAGGGCTTCTAAGATAGACCTAACAAGAGTTTCCCTCCCAGCCTCACTTAAAAAGCAGTTTTTCCACCCCTGCACTCTGTTAACAACATAATCAGTGACAAATTGAAATGTTTCTTTTTTGTATTTGCCAATGCCCAAAGGTAACCCCAGATACTTGGAAGTTTTCACTCTAGATATCCCATTCAAGACACCACAAATATCATTTTGTAGACCCGCAGAAGCATTCTTAGAAAAGAAAATGAAAGATTTATCAATATTAACATATTGGCCAGAAGCCTCACCATAATCCCTAAGAATTTGCAGAATAGTATGAGCATGATGAAGGTCAGCTTTACAAAACACAATAGAATCATCAGCAAAGAATAAGTGAGAAACCACTGGAGCATATTTACCAATTTTCACACCAAAGAATGTTTTGAGACTACAAGCTTGCTTGATCAAGTTGGAAAATGCTTCAGAAACCAAAACAAAGAGATAGAGAGACATTGGGGATCCCTGTCTTAACCCCCTAGTAGGAACTACAAACCCCAGGATTTAACCTTGCACATTGAAAGAAAAAGAAGAAGAGCAAACACAAGCAAGAATCCATGAAATAAACACATCACAGAAGCCCATCTTTTTTTAGCATTTTAGCAAGAAAATTTCATTCAACTCTGTCATAGGTTTTTTCCATATCAAGTTTAATAGCCATATATTTCTCTTTGCCAGATCTTTTGCCATTAAGAAAATGAATACACTCATTAGCAATAACTACATTATCTATGATCTGTCTAGGGATAAAGGCAGTTTGGGATTGAGATATGCAGCAGTGCAAGACAGACTTAAGTCTATTGGTAAGAATCTTAGCAATGAGTCTATAAACAACAGTGCATAAACTGATTGGTCTGTGGTCAGAAACAAATTGGGGATTTTTCTTTTTGGTAATTAGGGTTAACACAGTATGGTTCATATTTCTGGGCATTTTCCCATTTTGAAAGAAGTTTCTCACAGCAAGGCAAATTTCATCTTTTATAGAAGGCCAAGAGTTTTGGAAAAAGGCAGGGGACATACCATCATAACCTAGAGCTTTATGTTGATCCATTTCCCATAGGGCAGCCTTAATTTCAGGCTCAAAAACCTCTCTGGTTAAAGATCTATTCATCTCATCAGAAATAGACATATGAATTCCTTCCAAATTACATCTATCAACCAGAGGATTAGAGTTTTGAATAAGCTATCAAAATATCTATACAATTCACCCACAGTATCAAGATTATTAGCACATCTACTCCCATCACTTCTCACTAAATTCTGCAAGCTATTACTAGTTCTTCTCTACTTAACACTAGCTTGAAAGAACTTAGTATTTCTATCCCCTCCTTAAGCCAACTCACCCTAGACTTCTGCCTCCAATATTCCTCTTCAAGAGAGTAAGCTTCATTCAATCTATTTTTGAAAAAAGCCCATTCCTCCCAGTCTCTATTCCCTCCCAACATCTCCAGCCTATTCAGGTTCTCTTTACAGTGATTAATGACCTTCTCAGCATTAGAACCCTTATTCCCCTTCCAATTCATCATAGCTTTTTTCACATTTTTAATTCTTCCCCCCAAACTGTATAAGGCTGGCCCCTCAACTGGGATTTTCCATGTTGCTTTAACAATTTCAGAAAAGCCTTCATATTTAACCCATCTAGAATCAAAGAAGAATCTTTTTTTGAGGGATTCATTAGAATAATCAGACTCTAAAACTATCATATTGTGATCAGAGGATGTCATAGAAATATGCCTAACCCTAGAGTTAGGGTGATCAATAAGCCATTGAGGGGAGACAAAAAATCTGTCCAATTTCACTTCAATAAAATCAACACCCTTCCTAAGATTTGACCAAGTAAATTTATGGCCATGAACCACAGGTTCCACCCCACCAAGACACCTCACAAACTCTCTGAACCCTCTAAAGCTAGACTCATCCCTAATAACACCTCCTTGCTTCTCATGATTGAACAGAATATAATTCAGATCCCCCCTAAAAAACCAAGAATCAGACCACCTTAGGCTATGCCTAAGGAGAGAACTCCATTGCCCCTGTCTAATAGCATCATTAGAATCATCATAAACAAAAATACCCCACTGACTCCCCTCTGCCCCTTCAAAATTGAAGTGCACTTCAAACCCAAAATCAAAGGAGAGAAGTTCAATGATATCCACCCTACTGGACCAGCAAAGGAATAATCCTCCACTAGTCCCAATAGGTTTAGAGTAAGACCATCTATCACCTAACTTAAGCTTCCTACAGACAGTCATAACAAATTTTTCTTTTTTTTTTTAACTTCAGATAAAAAAGAAAAATCTGGGGAGTGAACCCTTAAGGATTCTTTGAACTGGGAAATTGTAGAGGGTCCCCCCAAACCTCTACAATTCCACACACATACCTTCATTGGAAACCATGGGACCAGTCAGGGCTGGTTGCCTCTATCATAGAATTAGAAACTTCCACAGAAAATTTTTATTTTTTGACAAATTGATCATTGCTAGTACCTTCTTGATTAGACATGCCTTCTCTGATTTGCAAACTTCTTTTAGCTTTTGGATTAACAACATGGGCAGTCTTATCAGTTGTCCCAGTAGGATCAACAGCCAAGGTTTCCAACACAGGTTCCTTAGAGATTTTGACTGTTTTTTTCTAAGATTTTTTTTCCTCTGTAAAACCCTAGCTCCAATAGAACCAGTTTGGATATTTATATCCACTAAAGCAGAAGGTACCAGATTAGTATCTTCAGGAATAGAATCTAAAATTCCATTGGGTTGAGCAATTTGGGCTTCTGCAGAGCCCTCATTACTTTCAACCATAGAACTCCCAACCTTGCTAATCAGTGGAACATGCTGAGTTCCAACTTGAGCCAAGGCTAAAGGATTCTCAAGACTTCTATCCCCAGTCTCATCTTCTTCAGGACTACTAGCAACATTTTTATCAGAACTCCTATCAAGAGGTCTGCTATCAGAAGAAGGAGAACTGTGGGATTTAAACAAACCTAAGTTAAGAGGGCTAACTCTCAACCACTCTCCAAACTGCCCTAGGGTAAGGGTACTTCTTAAGACATCCTCTTTTTTAGAATCACAATTTTTATCACTGTGACCTAATCTACCACAATAGAAACAGAATCTTTAGAGACTTTCATACCTGAAATCCACCCATTTTGATTCATTTCCTAATTTGATTTTGCAGCCTCTTAGAATGGGATCCTTCAGCTTGAGTTCCACATGAACTTTAAAAATGTGACCATGATAGCAGTTTGGCCCATGAATCTGAACATCTAAAGGTTTGCCTAGCATTTTGCCCATCTTTAAGCCTGTATCTGCACTCATCTAATGCAGGGGCATGTTATGAATCTGGACCCAGATCTTGATCACCTCATCATCAGCAGTGAAATTTAGCTTATCTGCATGCCATTGTTTGAGGAGAATATATTGGTCGTCAAAACTCCAGGTCTTTCCCTGGAGAATTTTATCTTTGTCTTCTTCGCACTGGAATAGGAACTGGAACAAGTTGTCCCCCAGACTTTTGATGGAAAACGGTTGTTTAGTAATCCAAATTGCTCCCAAAGTCGCTTTCAGGCCATGAAAGTTCACTTTTTTCTCCCCATATACCTTTCCCATAAGACTGAGAACACATTCTTGGAGCGATGAAGCTATCCCTTCCTCTGATATAACAATGCCTTCTTCTTCCTTTTCTGAAAGAGCAAATTTGCGGAGCTTATTAGCTAAATCATTCTCCATACTGCCTCAAACTAATAACCCACTCGCTACTCCCAGAAACCCCCAACTTAGGAACCCTAACACTACTAGACGCTTTCCTAATAGATCAATCAACACAACTCCAGGAACAAGGTAAAACAAACAATTAAAGGGTTACGAAAGAGGGCAACAAAAGGGTTAATTAACAGCAAAAGATCTGGCAAATTCATACATAGCAATAAAACCTAATATAACTACAGACCACAACAGCGAAAAAAGAAATAGACAACAGAAACACAGAAACACAGAAACACAGAAAAAAGCAGAACGAGAACATATATCGGAATCGAGCAAGGAATAGATCGAGAATAACGGAGAAACAAGCAAGATCCAACTAGTGGAACGGGACTCTAGAAAGAGAAAAACTTCCAAGGAGGAAGAAAATTAAGGGGTAGGGAGTATAGAGTAAAAAAATAGAGAGGGGAATGACAAGGAATTTAGAAAAGGGATTGAGGATTTTAGAAGAAGTTTCCCCTGTGTTGGTATTTTCTAAATAGACACTAGCATAAGATTTGAAAATTTGACTTTTAATTTAAAATATGACTTGTGAATAAATTAATAAAGAGAATCATATATTATCTTTCGTTACTTCTCACTCTCTCTTATAATATACTAGTGCGGTATTCATGCGATGCACGGGATTTGGATGAATGAATTATTGGAATAAGCATGTAACTTATACATTATTAAACATGTCCTTGTACACAACATTATTTGTTTGGTCTTTTTGTACATAGTCTATCGCATTCAATAGTCAAATGTAACAGAGATTGTAAAACGTCTTTCTTGATAATCTACAGTCGTATTATTTTAAAATTGTAAATTACTTAATTTAAGGAATGGAAAAATTGTGTAAGTATATGGGAAAAAATGGAGATCTCGTCCTATAAGTGGCACCCATTTGAGGTTTGGTCCTCCAAGATACCCACTTTTGGATCACGTCCCGTAAGTGCTAAAAAAACCTGAGATTTAGTCCTGTCACCGGCAAAAGCAGGTCACTTTTATCGGATAGCCTACGTGAAATTTTACTTGATTTTTTTTTACTGAGTTGTAATGCTGACGTGGAATATGAGCATAATTACAGAACATATGGAGATGAAGGGGTTCGAACATGGGGTGATGGACCTTTCAAGGCGCTCATGAGCAACTTGACCTAAGAAGTATTAGTGTTAAAATTTGACTTCAATTATATATATATATCAAGAACTTTTTATCAAAAAACAAAATATATATATTTTAAATAATTATTAAAAATAATACAAAATATATTAAATAATTTGTAAAACAAATACAAAATTTATTAAATAGTTTTTCAATTTATATTACTTTTAATTATAAAACTAATTTAATACTATACATATATATATTATTTAATTTATACTACTTTTAATTATAAAACTAATACATAATTTATTAAATACATGATATATTATTTTTATTTAATAATACATGATATGTATTATTAAATTGTTTTATTATTTAAATAAAAATTTAATATTTAAATAAATATATTAAATATAAATTAATAAATATATTCAATAATATAATGTTAATTATTATTTATTATAATAATAATTAACTATATAAAATAATATTGTATTAATTATTTATACTACTTTTAACTATAAAACTAATATATAAATTTATTTACTAAATATGTATTAATTATGAAATTGAAGTCAGTAAATGAAATAAAGTATATATAGTATATATATTTAATTACATTATTTAATTAAATTTTTTTTATCAATAATGTTGTTTTATATACTAATTTGTATTTTTTAAGTTTCCATTTATTTTTTATATATTTAATAAATATATAATAAATATAAAAATATATTAAATAACATAATAATTAAATATATTAAATAATAATTCTTTATTTTAACATATTTTAAATAATATATTAAGAACTATATTTAATATCTAAATAATCCTTTTTTTATATATTAAATAATAATTATCTATTTTATATAATATATTAAAACCTATGTTTAATATTTAAATAAATAAATATATTAAATAATATATTTAATATATATAAAATAGTAGATATATTAAATATTAAATTTGTTTTTAATTATATAATTTTTTTAATTATAGTTTATTGTTTTATGTATTCTTTACTAAAATTGACCTGCTTTTGCCGGTGAGAGGACTAAATCTCAGGTTTTTTGGCACTTACGGGACGTGATCCAAAAGGGGGTATCTGGGAGGACCAAACCTCAAATGGGTGCCACCTACAGGACGAAATCGCCAATTTTCCCTAAGTATATGCAATCAATTTCAAATTTGTATTCTAGAGGATTAAACAAAACCCAAATTTTTAGGATGTTCCAGTCTGATTTTATTTTGAATTTCAAAGTAATATTATTTGACTCTGTTTTATGTTTAAAAAAAATACGAACTAAATAAAGTAGTAGCCAAATGATGAGGAATTTTTAATTTTAATTTTCAATTTGAAATTAGGCACGATTCTATGCAATTCGTTTTTTTTAATAAACATGATTTGTTGCAATTAGGTAAAGATACAGGTTATAGTATTTTGCCTAATTTGAAATTATCAATTTTATGGTAAACAATTTTTTTAATAAAAAATGAGAGAATTTTGATTTTTAGAAAATTTTCATGTCGAATTTTAGCTCAAATAACCCGATCTCTTACAATCCCATTTTTTTATAAACAATTGATGTGTTGCAATTAGGAAAAGATATATGTGATAGTACTTTGCCTAATTCAAAATTTCCGATTTTATGGTAGTCAATTTTTTTTAATAAAAAATGAGAAATAATTTTGGCTTTTGCAAAATTGTAAGCATTAGTCAAAATTTACTTAAATTAAATTAATAAAACCCATTAATTTAAAATGCATATATAGAAGATCAATTTTTTGAGAATAATTTAAAAATAAAATTAACAATCTGCCAAAATTATAATACAATAAATGCTGGTAGACTTTTTTGTTATTATTTTTTGTAAATAGATTATATCTTTATATAGATATAGAAGATGCCCAACTAGTCTCCATTTTCCCTCAAGGAATATCTTGAATTATTTTGTACTTGACCTTTACCCAATTTTGCTATGGTGTTCGCTCCTTTTAGTTGAGTTGACATTCTATATATATAGTAATTAAATAATACAGTTAAAAAAAGGTTAATTGTATTTTTTATGTAGTTATTATATTCTCTAACTTTCTATACACGGTAAGTAGATAATATTATATTCTCTAACTACATAAAAATACAATTTTTTTTAAATGGTATCATTTACTTATCGTGAATAGAAGGTTGGCTATATTATGCAGCCAATTGTTGACTTTGTAGTTTTTTTTTTTTT